GGTTAGGGTGCTCAACTTGCTCGAATCCCCATCCCACCAAACATGCTCGCCCTTTCAGCCGTGGGGGCGTTATAATGTGATGGTCAATCCCACTGTTTGTTGGTAAAAGAGTAGCCCAAGATTTGGCAGTGGGTGGTGATGACAAGCTGCCTTCCCTCTAGTCTTACATTGCTAAATTAGGGATGGCTAGTGCAGATAGCCCTTGTGTAGCTTTGTGCAAAATTCAAAAACAAACAAAAAAACCCTTGACAAGTCAACACTAAGACATGAATTTTTGAAAAGTACAGAAATTCCAAGAATTGACTAGCAAAGAATAAACTGAGCATCCTCCAAAGAATCTTACTTAGAAGAAGCCTGTGTAACATGAGAAAAACAGAATTGTATGCAGAAGGAATTTAAACACAACTAAATAAAAGAACTGGAGTATTTTCCTCAGAAGCATGCATGGAAGCAAGAATACTGAATGTCAGGCCAACAAATATAACTCTTAGAAAATTAAATACAAAATAACCATGACAAAAAAGCAAAAAAAACAGGAAACAATGCATTCATGACAGAGAAGTCCTCACAGAACCACTGATGAAGAAGCAATATCATTTTAGACAAGAGCATGTAGACTGCTTTGATTCTAAGAAGATGGAAACATGTATGAGAAGGCTATTGAAATGAGTGGAAATCTAAAACAGAATGAGATCCTTTGAATGAGTTCTATATATGGCATCCAACAATTCCAAAATGAGTGATAGAACATAGATGCAGAGTGATAATGACAATTAATGTCAGAAGTAACTGCATTAATATTTAAAAGTATGTTTGCAAGCTTGAATAACTTTTTGGAAGATTGATTCATCAAATTAATGAGCTAAACAGAGTAGTGTAACACAATTTACATTTGAAAACCTCAGCTATATTAAAAAGTAAGAATGATTTAAATGATGTCATATATCAATATAATAATATCAAAAAGCATTTTTATTTTATTTCTTTATTCACCAAATCTGTGAAGATAGTTTTCATAAACATGAAACTGTTTAATGCTACTTGTAGACTCCAATACCAGCTGGTCCAACTTGAAGAGAAAACTAATAAGCTAATGAAGTTTTTTGATGCCAGACTTCATTTGTTAAAACTAGAAAAACTACAGTTAGAAGCAGATCTTAAGCATGCTGACCTAAGGTAAGTCAGAGTTTGCATCTCAAGTAAAATTTATTTTATTTTGATAATCAATAAGTTACCCAATTCAACCTTTCAAAAAGGTTAGTAATGTGGGATTTAAATCTATAAAACGGTTGTATTTAAAAATAAACAATATGAATTACATACAAGTCTGCAAGTTAAAAACACAACAACTTTCTAATGGTTTTATTGAGAAATTAAACCTTGAGAAGCATACATTTCTCTTTTTGTTGATCACTAATTTCACCCCCCAGTGGCACAGCGGTATGTCTATGGACTTACAGCTTTAGAAACTGGGTTTTGATACCCGTGGTGGGAAGAGCACAGATAGTCTGTTGTGTAGCTTTGTACTTAACTTCAAACAAACAAACAAATCACTGATTTCAGTACTATAGACATTTGATTCTACAAATTTATTATGCTCAGAGTAAATTAAACTGGCTTTCTAATACATATGCTTCAATTTACAAATAGTAATCATTTTTGCAAACACACACCAATGGTTACAGAATCAAAATAGTACTAGTTTAATATTTTAAGGTATTTTGAAAGTCTTTCAAAATCAGATTTGGGATTGTTTAGGTAATTTTTCTTATGTAATTTTTATTTTTTATAAACATGTGACAACTAGTTGATGTTACAAAAAAATTATGAATATATTTGGCGTGTATACATCATTTCCCAGTACTACATACATTAACAATTTTAACTTTTAACTGACTGCTTTATCCTTTAGTTACTTAATTTATTTATCAATTAGACCTGTTAGAATTTCTGACATACAAATTCAGATTTCTTTCATTTGATGAGATTTTAACATGTCTAACGTTTTGTAACTTTTTAAAAGTTATTTATGACTTCAATGTTGTGTTTTCTTAAAGATTTTCTTAAATCTTAAATGTATGCATTAAAAAAGTACTTTGTACACATATCTTACGGTATTTAAAACTTCTCGCTTTTCTTGATTTTTCTGAGACATCTTGTTTTGTAGAGTGCTTTCTTGCTGTTCAAATGTTTTTAGAAGACAAATCTCCTTGAAGAGTGTCATAAGTCTGCACATAAAAATACAGAAAAAGTAATTAAAAAACTGACACTAAAAACATTAGTGAATATCGCATGGCAATTACAAGTGACATGTAATACTACATTTTTACATAATAATTAGTTAAACTTGACAATAAGTATTAAAAAAATATGATATAAACAACATTACTCCAAAGTAGTGTATACCTTGTTACAGAATTAGTAATATTTTCCACTGATGGGTTATGTGATACCTTGTGGTATATATCCTGCTATATTTTTTCACTGTACTAGGAATCACACACACAAATATTTTATTGATTACTGTAGGTTGTGTAAAGAAAATGTAGAAATTCCAGAATATTCAGTGAAAGTTAAACCTTGTGGATGTAATAAATTTTACTCTACAAATACATTGAGATCATTGACCACTCAAAATAATAATCTATAGAGTGTTCAACTAGACTGATGGAAGTAAATGTATTTCAGTGCATGTATAAATATTAAATAATAATCACTTAATTGACTTTGATTCTGCCCGAGTTGAAACAGGTTCCTGGATTATCTTTGCACACCCAAACATGAGCTGAGTCAAAGAACACACACACACACATGCACATACACTAACTGACCACTTCATTAGAACTTCCACCCAATATTGGTAAATTGAACTATCTTTTGGTGCAATAATAGCTCGAAATGAGTGTAAAAAAAGACTGTAGGATGCTTGACTATACCTTACTTGTGCAAAAGCATATTCAGTATTTTCTGTCTTATTTAGTTAGGAAGGTGAACATTTAATGTTCACTAACAATTTGTGTAGTTTTAATGATAGAATAATGATCAAAGAATGTGGTTAAATTCCTTTGGCTCTAACTACCTATTATTCTGGGTCACTTGCCTGTGGTGTCATATGCTCTTTCTCATGGGAAATACTGTCATAAAGCAAAATATACTATGTAAAGGTGGACAACCACACGTTTAGCTAAATAAAAATATATGCAATCATAGAAATATAACAAATAACACATTAAGCCATTTGTTAAAAATCTATAAAAGGCAGTCCTTGGATTCCAAGTAATTTGGACTAAAATTACTTTGTCTCCAGAACTGTACTGAAGTGCACCAACCTGAAGCAATTTACAAACAGATCTTAAACTTACCATAATAAACCAAAGAACCATGATAATGGTGTGGATATATTTTACGGCTTTTATCTAAACTCATTTCTGCATTTTTTATACTGCCCAAATACACAGCACACAAGTTAATCCTTTATGTTCTGAATACTAACTTGTATTTCAAAATTTTTTTAGTTTTGTATGCTGATCAAGAATAGTATCGAGCAGAATTTGTGGAAAATCCCAGTTTTCTGCTATATTGGTGGCACAACTAAACCAGAAATGTTACCTAATTCAAGAAACTACTAGATATTCTTAAGGCAAATATGGTTTCTTTAAACACAGTGGCCATAGAATGTATTTGTACAAAATAATTTTATCACAATTTCTGGTCATATTAATTATATCCATACATTATTCTGTTAAATATGAAATATTTAAAATACACTCAATCAACATTTAGATTTGAAACTAACTATCAGCTGAAAGTATGAAAACAACAAAATGATAATTTTGGTGGTGGTTAAATTTAAAAAAATTAAGGAAGTTACCTTTAAACCTCTGAATACTGCATAAGTTAACTTGTCCGGTAAGTTTACAGTACTGATTTTTAGATAACCAAAGGCTGAGTAATTAGAGTTTAGAAACTTATAAAGATCATCATTTTATAAATTGGTGAAAAGCTTAGCCAACAATAATCATATTTCAGTACACAAATAACATTACAGCTAGTTAGTAATTATACTCATTATGTCATAAGGAATACCACACCTGTTTTTGATACACAAAAATGAAAATTCAGTAAATAGGCTATTGTGTTTTATCAAGGAACTCATATGTTGGAAGTGAAAGTCAGTTTTCTTATTTATATTTCTTCGGTGTTAGATGAAATTGTATTTCTCAAGAAGGTCTGTGAATTATCTGTCAATCTCAATCTAATTGAAAGCTTACTGTATAAATTTCTATGGCAAGAGAGAGATTGAAAATTTGAAAAGAAAACAAGTAGGAAAAGTTATGTAAAACTGAGAGAATTTTGGAAATCTTTGTCAATGGCTTGAAGACTTAGAAAGAAAACATAAAGAATGTGATAGAAGTTTGGAAGAACAGCAAGAAATGTTTGTAGAGGAATAAACTAGAAAAGTATGAAGCTGTTCAGAAAACCACAGAGTCTAAGGTTCCCAAGTATTATTCTCTTCAATGAAAGCCTTACTTCAGTAACAGTATTAGCTTCTTTGACTTTTGGAAGTCATCAATGAAGTAAGAGTTTGTTCAAAACTACAGAAAAAAGACACTTCACTACACAGCAGTAGTGAGGAAGATATCGATGATCCAATGCCTCCACGTGGTCATGATGCCAAGCACCCACCACATACACATCCAAGAAAAATAAAGGCTGGAAAAACTTTGATGTCTTCCAAGTGGATGCCCATGATTTTTTACTATGATAGAGAAGTTTCGTCCCAGGAATCAGAAGACAAGGACTGGGACTCAGACAGTGAGAGAGAATGTTGGGTTCAGGATGTCGAGGTAAGTGGTGATGAATTGTCAGGGGAGGAGGGTGGAGAGGAGGAAACGCTTGCTTCTTTTCTTCCACATGAGGCTACCCATGCACCCCTTGTATGGACTGATGGTTACAATTTTCAGCCAGATATTCATAATTTTGATAGGTAGCATTCAGATGTAACAGAGGACTGGCCTCATGGTGATGATGCAAAAGAACCTGAATATTTTGAGTCCTTCTTTGACCAAATATTGATGTCATTTATTGTCACAGAAACCAACAACTATTACAGGGATAAGTCATGCTAAATGCTAGTAAATTGATATCAAGAGCATAGGCCACCCATCCCTCCACTTCCTCCAACATCTTGTCTCGCTGTCACTCCTACTGAGTGCCGCTGGGTTTGCCGACAGCTGTGAGTATGCTGTATTCACGACCTCACCACAGCAAAACAAAGGTAGACAAATTATGTTTTTCTTCATGGCCCATTGCTCTGCATATTCTTCTTGAATTCTACAAGAACAAAATATATTTTTAGCAACCTTAATTTTTCGATGTTTATTGTGCACATGAGGATATCATTAAATTCCCTTTGTCTCATCTAAGTGGTTAAAACTATGCGACAAAACATTCTGTGAAGTATATGATGAAAATAACAAAAATACAAATAATACAGAGATAATATGAAGGATTCTACTTGGTTGCATGTTCCATTCTCTGACATATTTTAAGAAACGAAGGAACACAGGAAGATACAGCACAGAAAGTTATAAATAAGGTAATAAAGCATCACTTGAAATAGAAAATATCAACTGATGCCTTTAATATGTCTTAGTCAAGTGATGGAAATAATTTGATTTCAATTGATTATTTTATGAAAAGTTTGGAGGAAAATATTGTACAAATCTACAATGCTGAAATTTTCATGTCAAAATTTTTCAGTGAGTTTGCCTTGAAATAAGGAAAGCCAGTGAAACTAATTGAAGTCAAAAACTTAAAGTCAAATTAGTACTGATTGATGAAATGTGCAATATCTTGAGAGTAGTGAAGGACAACAGCTTTCAATTCTTTTGAAGTGAAGTTTTAGATTAATTTAACAATGCTTTTGGACTTGTTAATTATGTAAGAGTATGTAAACGAGAATATGAATACATGGGTTCATCATTTGGCATTCTTACTCATGAAATAAAGAACCACAAACGTGAAGGTACAAGTAATGCTGTAATACCTTTTGCATTTGGTTAGGGAATTAAGATACCGTTGGAGTCCTTCTGTGGTTACCATGAGGTTGATTGTGAATCTGAACAAACCTACATAAAATATCTTTTGTACCTATAATATAATACTTTTGCTTTCCATGAGTTTGCCTCTGAGAAGGAAAAAGATGGTATAATATCAGTGGGTGGCAAGTCTGGGTTTTAATACTTTGAGTTGGGGCCATACAACTTAAAGAGATAGAAAAGTACGTCTCCAAAAATGAACTGAAAAGAGAAAGTTTATATTATGTGATATAAAACCAGTGATGTGCAGTACTGTATTTCAAGGGGTAATTTTGCCAGTGGTCAGCCATAGTGACCTGATTCGTAGCTACATGTGGTGAGGAAATTTATCCATTGGATAACTATGGAAATGTTCATATAAGGTTACTTACTGTTCAAGCAAGACATCTGCAAAAAAGTCAAAGTTTGGCCGTAATATGACACCTGATATAAAGCCAGAGGTAGGTATTTAAAAAGGAGCCTAGTAAGAAGAAAAAGAAACCAAAACTCTGAGTATGTTCTTTCTGACTTCTTCTTTTGAAAATTAACAGTTTGGTAGTAATGACAGTAATTTACCATATAAGAACCTTTCAAATGTATCATCATGGAAGTAGAAAAAGAAGAAAAATTTTCCAAATAGGTTTGGTATTGTGATAAGTAAAAAACTGTAAAAACATAACAATGGTTAGAATTGTTTTAGAAACTTCACAATTTTGGAAGGGATGATTATTTTGCACTAACATTTTATTCAAATTATTCTTTTTTTTTGACACTTTACAAACATATTGAGCTTTAATATAATTATAATTATTTTTATAATCATGCTTTGCTGGTTTGGTCAATAGATATGTTATGAGTGCAAGCTTTGATAGATGAGAGCTGGTAATTTTCTGAAATATGAGACTCATTGTTTTTGAAAAATATACATTTCCTGCTATATACGTTTTTCAGATAAAGCAATTAAATATTAATATTGAAGAAAAGAAACAAAGTATTGAAAGCCTCCAGAAACAAGAACATGCTGTTCAACAACAATTTCATGAGCTTATTAAAGATGGACACACATTTGCTGAATTTCTAACATGTGTGTTTAAGAAGAAAATCAGACATTCAAAGAAAAAAGAAATAAGAAAAAATTATGGTATGTGTTCAATATTAAACTATGTAACAAACCTGATCCTTTTTTTAATGTGCAGTATTTTCGATATGGTACATTACCTCTTGTCACATAAATAGCTATTCTCGTTCAGTGCTGCCCTCTATATAGATTTTTTTTTGCATGCCACAAGCCTTGAAGCTCCCACTCATCTTTGAATTCACTGATTCAAATGCATCTTGCATGTAAATTATCATGTAACAACACTCCATTAATAAGAGCGTGACATACTCTTTTGACACAAGTGACTTCCTCTATTTGGATTATAGTTGACTTACCAACAGTATGACCTTCATCCTACCCCTGCATAGATGTCAGTTCCCAGCAACATGGGTTTTGGATGTAGTTGACTTGCCATGTACGATCTATCGTGCCCTCGCCACATCCTTCTCATTTTACCCACTTTTATGTTTTCCAGGATTGAGTTTAATAAATATCATATGGTTCTGATCCCTATCATGCCATAGTTCTCTCCAACTTGGATGTGCTTCTCCATCTTTCCCCCATATATGCAACATCTTTCCACAATGGGCGAAGAGTATACCTGGTACAGAAGTAGTGCGGTCTCTCATTATGATCTTCTACTACAAGGATCTACTCTTTGGGAGCATCCTTTGTATACTTTCAAAGGATGCTTCTTTCATTCCCTCGCACCGGTCCCTCCACCTTTTCACTATGGGATTCTAGCTATTTATGTGAGTGGAGGTAATGTACCATATTCAGAAGTTATAATTTTTCTATGCTGAAATGTATTTCTGACAAGTACTTACCACCTTTCATACTTCCCACCCTTCCTCTCCAAGTGAAAAGTTATTGCTTGATGATTTGCATTTGAATCAGCCGATTAAAAGGTGGGTGGGAGCTTCTGGCATGCAAAAAACTTTTGTATATAGAGAGCAGCACTGAATGAGAATAGCTATTTATGTGAGAGAAGGTAAGTACCTGTCAGAAGTACATTTTCAGTACAGGAAAATTATAACTTTGGTACTTTTCATAATTTTTATTATTTTTGTTAAATGAGGATTACTTACTTTTATGACATGGTTGAAATTTTTTTTTAATTTCATTATCTGTTGTAAAGTGTTTTAAGAAAAACCTGACTTTTTTATTATTCTGATTGCTGTGGCTGTGCTTTGTTGATGAAGAGTATTCTACTCAAATATTTGTCCAGTTAGAATATATTGTAAGTGATAAAAGTATTTCACCAAATTATTAAACTAGTTATGGTACAGTTACCTTCACAGTATGGTATGTTAAGCTGAACTAAATATAGATTTGTGCTTTACCTGATAGGTCCACAAAAAGAAGATTCAATCAAGATTGGGAATTACAGTGTAATGCTAAAAATTCTTACTAATTGAGACTGTTTTAAACAAAATAAAGAACCTGGGAAAAAAGCAATAAAAAATTAACAATCTTTATTAAAACATTCAAAAACAGTGTGTGTGTGTGTGTGTGTGCACTTACTGCACAGACAATGAGCTCAGACAAGAGACTCAGTTGGGTTGTCACATATAAGATTTCTGCACCAGCCTTGCAAGCTTCTTACCTATTCTTTACCTAAGCTTGGCTTGTACTCCTCTTTTTGCCTATCTGCTCTATATAGTTAGGTTTGAAGAAACCTTGTATATATACAATTTGAGTGGTGCTACCAGGTGACATATTATTCTCAGAATACACACTTGAGGCCTTAATCTCTAGGTATTACCAGAACAACCATTGAATGACATTGCTAACTAAATCCTTACACAAGATTGCATTTAGCTATGTTGTCCAGGCAGTAACAAGATATGTTTAACCTTGAGAGTAATAAGGAACAAAGATAATTTGAAACAAAAATTAATTTGATGGCTTTTTTACCATGTTTTATGTGAAACCTGCATGTATTGAGAACAAAGGATGAATATAGAATAAATATTATAACACTACAAGAAAATACAAATCCATGGTATATTCATTTACTACAACAATACAGATATTGTTTTAGCTTTATTATTATTAATTAAATTACTTTATTCAAACTGCAGAACAATTGCCATGGTTTTGTATAATTGATGAAGGGTATTTTACTCAAATATTTGTCTAGTAACAATATGTTTTGAATGATAAAAGTATTTCACCAAAATATTTAACTACAAAAACTTTGAAATGTACCTTGTCCAAAAAACATCTTATTCTGGGCCCTTTCTTGGTCATTTGGTCATCCTGTTTTGTACTTATAAAAAATTAAATTACAAAAATATTGTTATAGGTCAGAAGAAATTGGTCTACCAATAGTCAAGTTTCATGTGTATACAGTTAGATGTCTGTTGCTGTGTTTTAGCTGTTTTATTCATTTTGAGTGATAATGTTGTTTCTTGCTTTAAACTTCATGCTATCTTATCTTCACTTTTACAACACTATGTTATATTTTGAATCTTCTCATGATTTTTGTTTTCACAACTGGTTGTCCTGTCTACCATTTGTGATCTCAGGAAAAAGTCCTGTCCTCTACACTCTTGATCATCTCTTGATATTTGGTTTTTGTAATCAAGGAGTGAAAATGTTTTATGGAAAAATAATTGTTACTATTTGTTTAGAACTTGAATGATTATAGTAGTTGTAGGTTTGGTCAAACCACCTTTTCAATAACATTTACCACTTACAAGTATCACAATCACAAAAGATATATATATATATATAATGCTCTTAATTGTATGTACAGGCCAAGTGAACAGGACCACAAGTGCCCCACGGTACCCCCCCCCCCCAAACGCCTTAATCTGGCACTGTTCCAGGATTTATATATTTGTATATAGAATACT